CGGTGACAGCGATACGGTCGCGATCGCGGCGGGCGTGGCGGTGCCTGTGGCGCTGGTGCTGGTGGGGTTGGTGGCGTGCCTGGTGGTCTACATCGCCTACAAGCGGGCCAGGAGCCGACTGGAGCAGCTGCCGCCGGTGCGCCGGCGCAGCTCGGTGCGTAACACTTCGCTGGAGCGCGAGCTGCAGCGGGTGCAGGGGAACGACTTGTCTGAGACGAAACTCTCTGTCTCGGCGGATCAGCACCACAAGCTCAACAGGCAGTCTTGGGTGAGCACTTGAGCGCTTGAGCTGCATTCCCTTCAAGGCAAGCCTCTTCTAAAGTGTAGCTTCCACAGCAGCCAACATCACCTCTCTCTCTGCTTCACTCATTTCATCTCAGCCACATGATTCTTCACTCACACAAGGGAGGTGAGTTTGTGAATGCACAAATGGAAGCACAAGTAGGTATTGCTGTTGCCCTGATCGGCCGTGCTCTATACCCACGGCCTGCCCGAGGTCGAGGCCGTTTCCATTCCCACCGCGCAGACCACCACCCGGTGCGCGGGCAACATCGTCGTGGGCCTGTCGGTCACCCTCGTCAACTTTTTGGCCTACTTCATCCACCTCGCCGGCGCCGGCGCTCTGCCTGTCCAACCTGACATCGGTGGCCGACATCGTCGACATGTCCCCCTCCGAGATTATGGGCCAGGTGCACGTCTCGGCGCTCATGCCCACCGTGGCCAAAGCCTCCTACACCAGCGCGACCGCCAACATTCTAAAATTCAAGGTTCTGGTGGCACGGTGGGCGCGTGCTCGGGCGGCCCGTCGTGCAAGCCGGACGTCCAGAGCGGCAGCCTGGCCACCGTGATCTCGAACCCGAGCTCCTCTACGACAAGCGACGGCGACGGCGACAACACGGTCGCGATCGCGGCGGGAGTGGCGGTGCCTGTGGCGCTGGCTCGGTGGCGTGCCTGGTGATCTACGTCACCAACAAGCGGGGCCAGAGAACACATGTGTAAAAAAACTTATGCTAATTTTTTTAATATGGTTTAATATGTTTTATATATTGAATTATTCATAGATATAATGTAAATTTATTGTGATTAATCAGAGGAGGGTTCCTTTTCGTTGGCGCTACTTCCGCTGCTGCTGGTCTCGTCGCCGCCCAGCCCGGTGAGTTCGTACTGGGACCGGGCGTGCCCGTCCCACCCCGGCGGTGGCGGCGTCGCCGACTTGCTGACGTCGCCGCCCCCGCCGCCCACCGCCGGCGCCTGGAGGCCCCGCTGCTGCTGGCTGCTCGTTAACGTACTGGCCACGCGGCCCTTGCGACCGGCCGTGGCGGCGGCGGCGGCCTGGAAGTCGGTCTCGCGCCCCTTCCACTGCTTGAGGAGCGCGAGGATGGCCCGGAACTCTGTCGCCGCGTCGGGTCGGCGTCC